GGCGCTCATCCCCGAGCGGTACCTCCTTCCTTATTGCAGTGGGCTCTTCTTGCGAGTGAGGAAGGGAGAAAAAAAAGGGATATGGTTGCGGCGCCAACTTACCGTCTCTCTCTCTCTCTCTCTCTCTCTCTCTCTCTCTCTCGTCCTGCCTCTTTCTTTCTCTCTGCCTCCCCCTATCTCGTATTTAATTGAACCCCCTTCCCCTTACCTCTAAGGTCGCTCTCACTCTCTCACCGTTCGGTCAACATGACAAGCTGACCTCTCACAGGAAACTCAGCCACCCGCCCGGCCTGCAGCATGGGCGCTCTTGGCTTTTGACCAGAGGGACTCTGCAGCCTGCCCCGAGTCCGAGGCGTGCTTCAAGCCTTGTTTTATACTCGGGCTGGTAACTGGAATTTTAACGACTCAGTTTTCTCTCTTTCCCTCTGCGATTCCACATTCTCTTGGCCGGGCGAGGCCCGGGCCCGGACTAGGCGGCTCTTTTTCTGGCCATTCTTTTTCAAGTCACGGCAGCGATACGCAGTTAAATAATTACGCCGTAGATAAAAAGGTGGGGTCTTGTGTATTTTTTGGGCCAGGCTTATGGGTCCTATCCTATCCTCTTTTGCCCGGCCGAGGACCACAACCGAGGCCGTGGGTCAGGTCAGCTAGCTTTAGTGCACAGAAACAACCTCACATCTTTTGGTGCCGTTTCTGACCCCTTCAAATCTGCGACCAATCGTGCACCATTGGTATTCGTCAAGGGGGGCTAAAAACAAAACACAAAGACTTGCAATTTGGAAAATGGTCATTTTTGCCAGGATTCCCATTTTGCTCTGTTCAAGAGCCCATTTACTAGCGCCATAAAATCACACGAGGGTGAGAACTCGGGCTGAATAGGAGAATGAGTGGGGTTGCGGGAGGAGGGCGGTGACCCCCCACCCCTCGCCCCTTACACCCCGTTCCCCCTTTCAAGCGATCCCCGGCACCGCTGTTAAACCTGTTCAGCTATCCCGGCTGAAAGGGGCCCCCTTTCTATTTTTTTTTCTTTCACTCCTTTTCTTTGGCGGTGAAGAAAGCGCGGAGCGGGAGAGAGAA